ATGGGTCAGGTGAGCGATCTAGGGCCATAATGGCCCTTTTGTTATATTATAGTTAGTATTTTCTCCTCAGTTGTAATCTAAATTTGAGGGTTTATATATCGTACCTTAATTTGTATCCGCGTTAAATCAAATCGATACTTTAATGCTGATTTTCTTTCCTACTTAGCCGACAGATTTTGTTAAAATGTTGCTTTATTGTAGAAAATAACTATCTGAATAAGTGTACTAGCATATACATCAGGGTATAATAATTATATCAATCGTTTGCCACATTTTCTTTCCAAACGTTTTTTTTCCCAAAAAACATATGTAACCCCATAAAAGTGATGAATGAAATGCTTCATCCTTATCACAATTTTTTTCATTGTATCAAATGTGTACTTCCTGACCCTATGTGCTGTTACACCATAATCATTGTAACATACTAGAATAAATGTAAAACTTAGATATGGCTCAGGCTATGATTAACACAAGTCTTGTTCCAACTGAAGGCTAGGGGCGTCCGTGGCCGAGTGGTTAAGGTCGTTGACTTCAAACCACTTGCCCCTCACCGCTGTGGGTTCAATCCCGACAAGGACTTTGGATTCTTTCATGTGAGGAAGCTATCCAGCTAGCTAACGGAACGTCGGTGGTTCTACTCAGGTGCCCGTTCGTGCCTAAAATGATGCACGGAAGGGCACCTGAAGTCTTCCTCCACCAAAGCTGGAACGTCCCGATATGACCTATACTGTGTCGATGTGACGTAAAACCCAAAACGAACAAACAAACAAACTAAGTGAAGGCGTGATACGTTTCCCTTAACGGTTACTTACGTGTGTGTATAAATAGAGGAGTTTTAAAGTTTCAAGAATATCTAGATCACATTACAGTTAAAAGTTTTGTTTTTCATTGATAAGATTAAAAGTGTCTTCTCACAGATTGCAAATAGAAGCAGGTAGATGGACTAGGCCATTAATAACACAAATCGAATTTCAAAGTAAAATGTACTATCTGTAAGGTAAATGGTCAACTCGGGCCCAATACCAACTCAGCACGGGCCGTCACATCGACACAGATCAACTCGGCTCTCTATTAAAAACATATATTAGGATATAGATTGTTTAGTTAATTAAAATTTGAAGGAGAAAATTACTATAATTTTTTTCCAGAAATATGATCACTTACAAACAGAAATTGAAAAAGTTGGCAGTGTACCTGTACGTATTGTTTGAAATTATCTTTGTTAAGTACAGATATAAAGGCAATATATGTTAAATATTGATCAATTGATAGAGTTTTTAGATTGAATTTTTGTGACAATAAATGTAATTGTATTTAATAATGTTTGTTCTTTAACCCATTACTTCATGAGCATTTTGTGAAAAATGGCTGTTTTCATTGAAAAGTCTCCCGTTACAAGTTCAAATTGCTATAATACTATTAAAACTGCTTCAACACTAATCAAACTTGGCACAAATGTTGACTGGACCATTGCCCTTGCAACAACATGCTCAGGCTTAAATTTTCTGTTACCATGGCAACGAGGGGACATCTCAAAATTGCCAAAAATCACTATTTTGCGTTGATTTTTTCCATCAAAATTGATTTCAAAGTGCTGCAATTTCTCAATGGATTGAGATAGAGTCAAATGCTTTTCAGCGTTGGTTACACGTTACCTTATGATCAATCTGGGGTCATTTACAGCCTCTCACAAGTCCAAAATTTTCTTGGCGATGAGGGGGACTCCGCCCCCCTTCAAACCCCCCAAACAGAAGGGGGCACATCCCCCTTCTGGCAACCCCCTGATGTATCTTTTGGATTGGGGGCCGCGCCGAAAAAGAGGTCACTTTTTTTAACAACATTTCTCAAACAAAAACAAGTGTTGGGGGCCTAAATAAGGCATTTTTTCATCATTTGAGACAACAAAAAAAGGGGGGGTGAAAAAGGCGTTAAAAGGCGTGTATATGAAGTAATGGGTTAACAGAAAATGATGAAAATACTTGAAATTACCCTAAATCGCGTTTTTTCATGTTTAAACATGGCCTGTCATATAAATTTGAAGAAAAATTGTTGTTTTGTAGATTTTTTTATTTTTTTCATTAACCCATTACTTCATGAGCATTTTGTGAAAAATGGCTGTTTTCATTGAAAAGTCTCCCGTTACAAGTTCAAATTGCTATAATACTATTAAAACTGCTTCAACACTAATCAAACTTGGCACAAATGTTGACTGGACCATTGCCCTTGCAACAACATGCTCAGGCTTAAATTTTCTGTTACCATAGCAACGAGGGGACATCTCAAAATTGCCAAAAATCACTATTTTGCGTTGATTTTTTCCATCTAAATAGTGATTTCAAAGTGCTGCAATTTCTCAATGGATTGAGATAGAGTCAAATGCTTTTCAGCGTTGGTTACACGTTACCTTATGATCAATCTGGGGTCATTTACAGCCTCTCACAAGTCCAAAATTTTCTTGGCGATGAGGGGGACTCCGCCCCCCTTCAAACCCCCCCAAACAGAAGGGGGCACATCCCCCTTCAGGCAACCCCCTGATGTATCTTTTGGTTAGGGGGCCGCGCCGAAAAAGAGGTCACTTTTTTAACAACATTTCTCAAACAAAAACAAGTGTTGGGGGCCTAAATAAGGCATTTTTTCATCATTTGAGACAACAAAAAAGGGGGGGGGTGAAAAAGGCGTTAAAAGGCGTGTATATGAAGTAATGGGTTAATACGACCAATGCTTTTTTAATGATATTTTTTACAAAAAATCTGGAGTAGCAAAACATGTGTATAAGTTGTAAATTCTTTCCTTCACTACAAATTCACATACAAATTGGTACTTTCATCAATAAAACTTTTCAATATCCTTGAGTAGAGGTCTGTTAGTGTGAAAATGTTAAACCATGAAAGTTATGATGAAAACATATCAAACGTAATAAAAGTAATCATTACCAGTAATATATAATTATGGGCCGAGTTGACCCGTGCCGAGTTGGAATAGGGCCGAGCTGACTCGAGGGCCGAGTACGTTTTCGGGCCGAGCTGACCCTGATTCATATGTAATATGTTAGAAAACGAAAATCATTTTATTCTTGAATTGGTTTAAGGAAAATATATACATAAAAGATTGAATTGTTAACATTAGAAGGTGTGAAAATTGTTAGGAAATTTGGAATTTATGTATTAATAGCTTTTGAAAAGTGAAATTATGTGTTGTATGGAAGGTAATGCGTAGATACAATTATGTTGTTGTTTCTTTTTACTAACGATCTATTTTAAGATTACATTCTTATTAAATGTGAAGTATCATATTACTTTAATGGAAGTATATAAGTGAAATAGTTATGAAGTTCTTACGATATATCTATAATATTGGTCTTGATTTTTGTCTACCTCAATTTTGAGGTTTAATTTTATCAAATACATGTATAGTTATATGAAAATATCAATATGATCTGCGCATTGCATCCATAAGACGTTAATGTATGTACATAATGTTTGTGTGTATTGTATGTATTTATGTTATAGTAATATTCATGCTCGAAATTTTCCAATTATTTATGTTTTAGGTACATTTTTGCTTGTCATTGTTTGCCGATTATATCACTATTGTAATGCCATCATGGGAATATTGAGAATGAATTACTACTACATAAATAGTTATTATTGCTTGGTATAAATTCTTTATTTGAATGTCATTACTTGGAAAGCATACAGTTTACAGTGATAGTGCTCTAAAGTTGCCTCATGTTTGTATCACTGTATATTGTGAAGCGTTTTCATCACAGATGATGTAATTTTATTATTTTTTTTTAATTTATTTAATTCTAATTTTTAGTTAATGTCCAAATTCAAAATATCTTGTATTCTCTTCTATGAAAGATAAATGGTAATTTTAGAGCTTAAAGAAGGAACAGCTGGTTAATCCATCAATAAATGATGTCATGAAAACTCATTATAATTTTCATATTACATTGTATATGCTTTCCCTTACCAAAAAAAAAGGCTCTCTGGTGAACATTGCGGCAAGTTTGCCGCAAACACTGCGGTGAGTTTGCAGTAAACTGCTTTCAGCAATTATTTACCATGCAAATGAGGTCTGCGGCAAATTTGCCGCAACTAATGAGGTTAGCGGCAAATTTGCCGCTAACTATAGGGGGAGGTAGCTTCTGTTTGCGGCAAATTTACTGCAAACCTCATTTGCATGGTAAAAGTTTGCAGATGTTCGCCAAAAGTTTGCGGCAAATTTGCAGCAAACTTCATTTGCATAGTAAGTTTGCGGAGGTTCGCCAGAAGCTTTTGGTAACACTGCGGCAAACTTCATTTGCATATTTGCCAGTTTCAGCAAATATGTTATGGCGATATTTTGGCGAACATTTTGGTAAAGTTCTGGCGAACAATTTTTTCAAACATTGGAATAATTAAAACTAGCTGAATTATAAGAAAACAAATACATATTGGTTTAACACATTTTTTCAATAGAAAATAAAAGAAATATTACAAACATATCAGTAGAATAAAATGAAATTTGATAAATTTGTAAAATAAAGAAATTAATTCCCGAGTTTAAAAAAGAGATAAATTTTACACACATTTTATTAGCAACTGATTCTATACATATTTGACTTTCATAAATTTCCACTCTTTAGTTATGATGCTATCATGAATTGTTCATATTACTTAATAATCAGTTAAAACAAGAGCCGGTTGAACCGGGGTGATCCTCCCCGACTTGGATTTGGACACAGAAAAGTATATCTTTTGAAGTTTCAGGGTTATGTCCCAGACAAAGTTCAAAGTGTGATAATTCCAAAATAGTTGTAAAATCCCACTTTAAATAACGACGTTATGGGCCAGACACATTTTTGCTTCAAGGTCATGCTGTGACCTTGACCTTCAAGGTAATGACCCAAATGTTGCGCGTGACACATCATCTCAATATGGTGATCATTTCGGTGAAATAGTTGTAAAATCCGACTTCAAATAACGAATTTATGGGCCGGACACGATTTTGCTCTTCTATAAGTTTCTTAGGTTTATGTCATGCTCTTCTCGAGTTGAACCATAAACAAGAATGTCATCTACAATGACACTACAACCAAGTAAGCCTTCTAAGCACTCATCCATCTTTTGCTGGAAAAGATCTTGGCTGCATTTCAGTCCCATGGGACATCTTAGATACCTATAACGACCTTGAGGGGTGTTGAATGTTGTTAGATATGATGATTCATCATCTAAAACAACGGACCAGTAACCTGATTTGCAGTCAAGTTTTGTGAAATATTTTGCAGATTTTAACTGCGGCAAAATATCATCTAAGGTTTTTGTAGGATAATGTGGCCTATGGATTGCCTTATTAAGGTCTTTAGGGTCAATTACAATTCTAACTTTATCAGAATGTGGCTTATTGACTACGACCATACTATTCACCCAATTTGTTGGTGTGGTGACCTTGGCTATGATTCCAGCCTTTTCCATAGCATCAAGTTCCTTTTTAACCTTGCTCTGAAGAGCTACAGGAACGCGTCGGGGAGCATGAATTACTGGGGAATACTTGGGATCTACTTTGATCGAACAAGCACCAGGTAATTTTCCAAAGCCATGAAAAACTTCAGGAAAGTCACGCAAGACAGAATTTTTATTCATTTGCTCATTCTGGTCTACGGACATTACAATCTTAATTAAATTGAAGTCAAGGCATGATTGTAAACCTAGGATAGAGGGTTTGTTTGTTCTCACAACATAAAATTGTACAAGTTTTGTGCATTTCTTCTTGTAGCTGCATGAGAGATCTACTACTCCTAGAACCTTAATTTCAGTGCCTGAGTAAGCAGTGAGTTTGACAGTTGGCTTCTTTAAGGGAGTATTGACCTTGAAGGATTTGAAATCTGCCTCAGAAAGGATGTTACAGCATGCCCCTGTGTCAAGTTTAAACTGTTTAAAATGACCTTTAGAGCCCACCTGTAAATCAACAAATACCTGTCCCTTTGAATTTGAATCAACTGCACCAATACAAAATTCACTGTCACTGTTACTGTCACTGTTATTGTTTCCGGTTTCGATTTCATGCACTTTTTTGTTTGACCTACACACAACTGCATAGTGATTCCATTTATGGCAGTTCTTGCATAGTTTTCCTCTTGCCGGACATCGATCTTTGCTGTGATGTGACTGTCCACAATTTCCACATTTTGTTATATGTTGGTTTTGTCTAACTCTTGAATGGTGATTGTGTTTCTTTCCAGTCTCGTTTTGGTGTTTTGACGTGGAATGTCGTTTATGATGAATGTCATCAATGCTATTGGAATTAGTCATATCACGTTATTGTGCCTGTGCATATTCATGTGACTGTGATATCCTGACTGCTTTTTCGAGAGTCAATGCTTCACCTTCTGTGATAAGTTTTTCACGAACTTTTCCCGACGTAATTCCAATTACTATTTGATCTCGTATTACATCATCTCTGTACCCTGCATCAAAAGCGCTATCATTTGCTAATGTTTTTAGACGTGTGATGAATTGTTCTATCGTACTGTTTCCCTGTTTTTCATTGTGGAATTTGTATCTGCTAAATACAGAATTTGATTTTGGTTGTAGATGTTTTTGAATTGCATCCGAAATTGCCTTTATTGATTTCCTTTGGAGCTCAGTTAATTTAAGAGTATTATATATCTGGCGGCCTCTGTCACCAATCAAAAGTAATAAGTAAGTAACTTGCACTTCTTCATCTTTTTCTCTTAATGCGCCACTAAATATAAGTTCTGCATGCTGCCTGAACTTTTTGAACTCCTCCATAGGGTTCTGACTGTCCCAGTTCATTGTTGGTATGGGTACACCATTTAAATCCATTGTAGAGCTGTAGAATTAATTGATTTCTCTGAAGAAAGTTAAATGTTTGTGATGCGCACAATTTAATTTCTTTCCAGAATGCTTGTTAAATCCGATTCCAAATAATTTTTTATTAAATTCCTTTTATTACAATATTATTCCTTTAATCCCACTTCTGACAACATGTTATGTTGTATGGATGATAACAAGATTCTAACTATTCTACAATTTATTATAACCATTTTATACATGTTGTTAAGACCAGAGCTCAAGTGAGAATGACCCAGGTATCAGAGAGGCATGATTATATATATAACATAGCATTAATGAATATCAAGTAAAGGGAAGTAATCCCATTAACTATACAGCTAAACATGTAAAGAGTTATCTAATCTTGATATCATAACACTATGTTATAAATGATGATTCTTAATTCGAAAATGTAACATTAGGAATATCACAGGAACCTGAAATTCTATCCAAAAAAAATAACGATTAAAAAAATCCCATACATATAGGCCTACTATAAGTGTTTTTTTTATAGTATATGTATGGGATTTTTTTAAATCGTTATTTTTTTTGTTTTGGATAGAATTTCAGGTTCCTGTGGTTTTATTGAATTTCAGTTCAGGTTAGCGCACACCACATATATACAGCGTGATATAACCGTTTTGTTAAATTGATCTTTTCGTTATTTTCAATTCCATTCTTTGAGTTCATTTTTCCATCTTAGTGTTGATAACAATTTTTGCGGAAGTAATGTTTT